GTTTTTTTAAATAACATGATGTCAGAAAATCAGCCCAAAAGCTTATCTTATTTCTGTTGGTTACGCACCGCTGACTCGCAATGTTTGTCATCACTTCAAGATGTCTACCGATTCGTGAAAAAGGCGTATTCGATTCATTGAATGAATACTAAATAGACCTATCCTATTCTGATAATTACAGTATAATATGATAAATATGCGTATTGATTTAAAAATTATATAAAGACTGTGGGAAGGGAAGACTATTCTACACTAGGACCTACTGTGTGGGTTGAAATAAATTAACATTTTTTCCCTCTCAAAACCCCCCTCCCCACCCTAAAAAAGAGAAAAAAATTGAAAAAAAAAAATTGAATTGTACCATGACTTTACATAGCCTAGGCCTACTTACATTATTGTTTTGCCGTTCAGAAACAAGTCTCTTAACTTCACAATCTACAATCATTGACAAATATACATTGGCCTAAACCAAGTTTATTTTGTAGTGTATTTTGCTTTGGCTTTTTGTTGTTAATTAAATTTTTTATCTATGTTAAATTTGTGATTAAGTAATTCATTTAATTTAATTCATATTTTAGTTAAAACAAGTTTTATAGGATGCGTGCAGAAAGAATATTGATATGCAGAAAAGTAAAATTAACCCCCTCCCCACCCCAATTTTTTATTTATTTTTTTTTTTTGAGATGTGACGCTAAACAATGCAATGCATCATTTCAAGATCTAGTTTCTTGTATACTTGCTCATTAGGTGTTGCTTTACTTTATTTCAAAAGGGAAAAAAGTCGCTGTTTGTTACCATACCACGGTAACTAAAAAATGGCAAGTACAATTAGTTTCAAATTTGGCAAAATGCAATGAATGAATTTGGTGACTTAATTATCGCAATTCCCAAATTTGTGTTTAGTTTTTGTGTACAAAGAAACGTACACACCCGCAGGGTTCTGGTTATTATTATTATTATTATTGCTAAAAAATTACAATCTTATTCAAAAAATAGAGAAAAAGAAACCAATAAGATCTATGGACATTATAATTTAAAGAAAGTACATTCACTTCTGATATTCTGTCTTGTTTTTCTCATTTGTTTAGTGAGGAGGACGAGAAACAGGATGAACCCATAACAGATAAGTTAGAACTTGGTAAGATTCGACTATCAAGGAACAAGATGGAAAGGTAGGCTAAAGACTATGTGAACTGGACGTAATATGATGATGCTTAATTTGTATATTTAAGTTTGTACACTGAGCAAAAATGTCATGAACATGAAATTTTGTACTGGTGCAAATTCTTTGTTGAATATACAATATTTTTGTATACCGCACCATGAAAGCTATAAATCAGATGAATAAATTAAAATATAAATAAATGTTCCATGGTTACAATCATTAATAATCACAATATCTATATCCTATACTCTATAATTTAGACTTAGGTCAATTTAAGCTTTTAACTATACTGTAATAGATTAACAACTTTAACTATTGAATTAGCTAAAGTTTTACCTCATCTACCAGTGTTGATTTGACGTAGGTTAATACCAAACTGCGAATCACTCATTTATTCGCAGAATAAATGATCTTCTATGAAACGCATACCCAAAAACAAAAGAACACATACTCTCGTAATAATAATAGACACTCATGCAATAATAAGACTCTGTTCTTAATATCATTATTAACTTACAATTAAGATTTGGTTGGAATTTGATAGCTTATTTTTATCCTTTTAAATCAGCTATTCAAAATTGTTGAGGTATTTTAATGAAGTCACATTAATGAGCTCACATTAATCCATTAAACAATCCACATTTAATCTAATCAATATGTATTAATCCAATTTGCATGCATTAATCCAATCAGCCTGGGGAAGGCAGTTTGGCTCAGCAGTTTCCATTCTGGTTGTTGAAAATGTGATCATGAGCCACACGCTGATTGATATCGGCCGGCCATGCTTAGAAACCCCAACCTGCATGGTTGACAGGCTGTGAAGTGCTCAAGTTATGTTTCAGCCCTGTCATGCAAGCATTTCATGGCATATAAATAAAATAATTAAGCTACAAGTAATCCCTTGCCTAGAAATGGCTTTCGGGCCTTGGTTGGGGTGATTTCAATTAAAAAAATAAAAAAATGTTCCAGTCTTTACTTTTACTTTATTGCCATTATTTCAAGTAGTGATGTGACTACTTCTTTGCTTCAGCTGTCCTGCTTAATTTTCTTATTAATGTTTCCCTTCCTTGGCAAATGTGAATATATCTTCAAAGCCTTTCATGTTGTCAAGTTTTGTGGTAAATATTAATGGACATTATTCCAATTGGCATGCAGTAATTCAGTTTTCCCCCATCTGTACTAATACTTCATCTTTTGTAACAGTTACATAGTGCTAGCCAAGTCTCCACAATTCATTGAAATCACAATAACCCTAAAAACTACCAAGCGACTCAATGAGATACAGTCTAACACAACAGTTAACAAAAAAGACAACCAATTCGATAAACATATATAATATAAACTAAAATTTGTCAAATTTGAGCAGTTTAGTATTCAATTCTGATCTGATGGGATCATTTGTAAATAGTAAAATTCTTTTATACTTGCTATTTGAAATATGCTTTATGCTTTATTACTGTTATTAGCATCTTTTTTCATTCATATTTCTCTGTAGATGGGTACACATGCCGTTTTTTTCTACCACAGTTGTTGGCTGCTTTGTTCGGATAGGTATTGGTAACCATGAAGGAAGGCCAGTTTACAGGGTATGTACTTTGTAGATTCAAATTCTCTACAAAATTTGTAAAAGTTTATAGGCATAATAAAACATAATGATGGCCATTTCCTCCTATCTTGAAGTGTAATTTTATTTTATGATTAGAATATAAAAGTTTGAATGGCAGATAAAGAATAGTATAAATTTTTCATACAGTAGCAGAGGCAAAATCAAGGGGGCCCAGCAGGCCTGTTCCCCATAAATTTTACAAAATTCCCACGTTGGGCTGAGGAGGTATAGACCCTCCATCTGTGGAAGTCCCTCCCCAGGCCCCTCTATTTTGAATTCCTTTATCTGCCACTGAGTAAAATGTGGCAAGGTATAAACTGGGTATACATAATCCCATGAAGAAGTGCACTATATCAATGAAAGTGTCAATGGTTTTCTGAAAAAGTACTGTTGCCTTAATTTTTATTACTTATTTATTGATAATATAATTTCAGTTTATGAGTTCGCCTTTGATTTGCAGGTTGCTCAGATTACATCTGTAGTACAGACTGCTAAGATTTATCAACTTGGATCGACAAAGACCAATAAGGGTTTGAAGTTAAAGTAAGTTTGCGTGAGTCCAGTATTGGGTGTTTGTGATGTTCATGATTAATTTTACCGCTGCTAAACATTATGCTTTATTATTTTTTTTACTCTTAGACCATCATCTATTATTTTTATTACCAGTGTTCCATGTTTTTGTACAGCATATGTATAAAGGCCGGTTTGTGTATGCAATAAAAAAAAAATGTTCATAAATCAATTCAGATGACGTCATAATCATGGGAAAATGATAAAATCTTAGTAGTAACGTTGTTTGATTTGTCAAAATATTTTGTTATTGTATACACGATAAATCGTTATTGGACCGTCCTAATATAAAACTTGGCACATTTCTTTTATTTTCTATAAAAAGAATTACTTTTTTAGCTTTTTATCATTATCGTTGTTGTTGCAAGTATAAACAGGCTTTAATACAGTGACATTGATGTCAACTCTAGACCATCTTAAGTTCATGCTGAACATAAATAATTTGTAAAATGGTAAAGATCAGAAAATCTATCAGAGTGAAAAGATTGCTCCAACCAAGATTAGAAATCATGTCTCCTGATATCTCTCTATGTGATCCAAGTTTAAATCCCTACTCTTCCAGACATTCTCATTTTTGTCAATTATCTTTTTTTCAATCAAATACTAGGCCAAGATCATTTTGAGGTGTGTACCTCTGTTGTAACAAATTCGTAAAAGAAAAAGAACCACAAGCCATTATTATTATGTCTTAATATTATTAATACTGTTATATTATAAATATTATTATCAATATTATCATTTGAATTATCAGTTTAATGTTATTTTCTTTTTGTTTGGGTTAGATATGCGAACCAAGAGCGAGTATTTCGTCTGGAGTTCATTTCAAATCAAGAGTTCACAGATTCGGAATTCCTCAAGTGGAAAGAAGATGTAGGTTAATTAGAGCATGCTCATTGTGTTTGTAGTGATGATGATATAGGAAGAGGTAGATGAGGGAAGGCGTAGCTGTGGAGAGGGGTAACTAAGCTTAGGGGTTGCTGAGGGTAAGGGTAGCTAGGTGAAGGGGGTTTTCATTTTATGCTATATCAGCTACATTAGCCAGTGACAGCCATGTGAAATTTTACAGGTTATGTATGCCTGAAATGAAAAATCTGGAAGTTTAATTATATTAAAAGCACTTCATTGGAACACCCTTTTTAAGAGGACACACTTTTAGCTGTGAAACAAGGAAAATATCTTTAATAAGAGCTAGATCTTAACAAGATCATCCAACTCCATCCAAATTGTTCGACCGGTCTACCATAAATGTATTGGTGACAATTCATTCCCTTCAATTGCTGCCCAAATTTGGTCAGCCTAATTCTCTCAGATCTTGTGATTCACTTAGGCAGTTCAAAGCCCATCTAAAAACACACCTTTTTCAATAGTTCCTCTCACCTTGCTTAGATTGTATTTGTTTATTGTTTTGTTTGTTTCTTATTTTTCTACTGCTTTATTGCATTTGTTAACTTAGGACACTTTGCATGGGTTTGGTTCTATGCAAGCTTTACTCGGGAGGATGTTTTGACTTATTGTGGAGAGTCACTTACAGCACTTCGTAACTGAAATATACAAGTAACATGTAGGCCTATCACTGGGCTACCTAGTCTGTTTAGGCTCAGGTGAGCCTAAGGCTGGACCCATTTGTGAGGCCTAGGCTGGATTAATTCATGAAACTTAGGCTAGTCCTATCTAGCATTTTATGGGCAAGCTCACTATTGTTTGAATTATATATATAATCTGCCCACCTTATACCTTAAACATGAGAAACTATGATACCTACTTAATTATTTAATTATACATCCACAGATGGAGATGAGGCGGTTGCCATTACCATCAGTAGGTTATGTTAATAAAAAACTAGAGGACATTAAGAATGCATTATCATACCACTATAAAGAAGAGGACATTGAACAGGTATGCTTTACTAATTACTTTAGACGAGTTGTTTTAATTTTTAAGATTTACATATTTGCATTGTAAGTTTTTCTTTCAACAATAGAATTCCCAGTTGTACGACTCCTTTATCTGAGCATTTTTAGTTTATTTTCTTAACCATTCATCATACTAAAGTATTAAAAATTGTGAGTGAACAAATTATTAAATTAATTAATTATTGGAAGGAACACTATATTTTATTGGCTTAAGCTGAAGACAGAGCTAATACAGTATATGCATTGCTTAAGTTTTCATATATTTTTGTGTTTTTTTTTTTCAGATCGTAACAGAAAAAGAACGATTCCGACGAAATCCCAGGAATTATGCCATGAAGAAGACTCAGCTAATGAAAAAAAGAGTAAGAAATGAATGTTTCTATTAGTTATTATGGTCCATAAACATGAATCAAATGGTAGAAACACTAGTAAGAAAGATGATAAATTTTTTCGGAAAACGTATTGTCCCCCATTTGAATGCAACCCACTGATCGCTATTAGATTTCTCCACCAACTGAGCCATGAAGCCATTAAAGACCACTTATACTACCTTATGTATTAGGGGCAAGTCACATAGTTTTTTTTTTCAAAAAATTTAAATAATCAAAACAAGAATAGTTAATTGTGTATGTGAATGTGGATGTTTAATTTGCGTTGGATTAAATAGTTAACATTTTATATTTTGTAGGATATGGCCATGTTAGAAAGCAGAGAGAAAGAGGTGTTTGAGCTTAACCAGCGTTTGGAGGAGCTAGAAGAGAGAGCTGAGCAGCTTGATCGAGTTAGGAATAAAAACGTCAATGCTGTTGCGTAAGTCTCTTATTCCATTGCTGCGTGTGATATATCAAATGGATATGTCTCCATCATGCCCACATCATTCAGTCAGTTAAGGAATATATCAAATGATTAATCAGTAAATCAATCAACCAACTAATCAAGAAATCATCAATCGGTCAATGATTAAATCAGTCAAGGATTAAATCAGTTGACTAAGTAGTCAATCAAGGAATCAGTTAACTAGTTAATTGAGAAACTCATCAATTAATCAATCAGTTAAGGAATATATCAAATGATTAATCAGTAAATCAATCAACCAACTAATCAAGAAATCATCAATCGGTCAATGATTAAATCAGTCAAGGATTAAATCAGTTGACTAAGTAGTCAATCAAGCAATCAGTTAACTAGTTACTTGAGAAACCCATCAATTAATCAGTCAGTTAAGGAATATATCAAATGATTAATCAGTAAATCAATCAACCAACTAATCAAGAAATCATCAATTGGTCAATGATTAAGTCAGTCAAGGATTAAATCAGTTGACTAAGTAGTCAATCAAGCAATCAGTTAACTAGTTAATTGAGAAACCCATCAATTAATCAATCAGTTAAGGAATATATCAAATGATTAATCAGTAAATCAATCAACCAACTAATCAAGAAATCATACAAGATACAAGATACAAGTCAACTTTATTGTCAAAATAATACATTCTGAGATATTTGTTGTACATGACATAGAATCGTTCATAAACATATAGAGTGTTAAATAAAGATTTTTTTAGAAAATAAAAATAATCAATCGGTCAATGATTAAATCAGTCAAGGATTAAATCAGTTGACTAATTAGTCAATCAAGGAATCGGTTAACTAGTTACTTGAGAAACCCATCAATTAATCAAAAGGAATAAATGAATCGATCATCCAATCAATAAATTGATCAATCAATCAATCAAAAAAATCAAACAATCAGGATTCAATCAATCAGTCAGTTTACCAATCAGTAAACTAATTAATGTATTGGTCAACTAATTGATTACCCTGTCAATCAAATAACCAACCAGTCTACCATTTTCTCAATCCATGAATTAATTGTCCAAATAAATAATATATGATGAAGCTTAATTTTAGAAATTCTGAATTTTATATGTATATTTGTTTTTAATAATTAAACCTGGTAGATATATTAACCAACGTAATCGTGAGCGAAACATTGCTGATTCTGAAAAGGCTGCCGTTGATGAAATCAAAGAGATGGAGAATGCACCTGATGATCCGTTTACCCGGCGTCAATGCCGACCAACACTAGTCACCAAGGTAAAACATTCGTAATAATTTTAATGATAACAATTTGTTTTTGCGCAGAGGCTGAACTTTTATTTAGAATATGAATACAAAATATAAGTACATCAAATAAAAATTTAATGTAGTTTATTCTTTATTAACATCACACTACCATCGCTGTGAGATAACCAGCTTCACTATAAATAATATGTATGAAATATTTAAGTTTCTAACTTTAAATGAAATTACATAATGTGTTGTGCAAAGGAAATATGAAGAGTCTTATTGGATTGAAAAGCAGGCATAGAGATTTACAGTTATTGGTATAATATTTGTGGATAATGATGACAGTTGTAATGGTGATATTGGTAGCGACAATGAAATGAATAGAAACAATGACAGTAATAATAAAGGATTTTGTATAGCACCAGTATCTGCCAACCAAAAATAATTTTAAATTTATAGTATTTAATTCAATTATTTTTTTTAATTATTAAATGAGCTTTTTATTGACATTAACAGACCAAGGACATGGAGGAAGATCCAAAATTGTTACTTCAGAAATTGAAAGAAGAACAGGCGAGAAGATTGAATGCAGAAAAGTCAGGAAACACCAGTAATGCAGACATGGTAAATACGATTCCAAATATATTTTTATATATTTGAATTGTAAAACTGATAATGAGGGCGGTTTTTAGATTATTCTGCTATGTAAAATAGCTCATTATTATATTTCAATATCGTATATAAATTCTAAACACATTTAAAGAGAATGGCGACCCCTTGAATTTTTGTTGTGCCAATTTATTTTTATTTGCTTACAAAATTCCTATTTTTGAAAAAATTTCATTGATTGATTTCTTCAAATTTGTGACAAATTTGTGTGATATACCCATATATGGGAATAATGATGTCATATTACAACCAAATATGGGCATATCACATTAATTTGTCACAAATTTTGATAGTGTATTGCATTATGTGATATATAAATGTAACATTATTATTATTTTTTACATTGAACAATTAATATACATTGCTAGAAAAATTAAGATCTACAGCATAGCCAGTGATGACAATTATAAATCAGAATGATGATTTTTAACCTGCATAAAAGGTTTAATGCAAGTTCAACAAAATTATATATAACATGAACATTGGGACCCCCCACCCCCTCCACAGCATACACCAATTAATTGTATCTTTGTTTAGTGCTCTTCCTACCCACCCCTCACTCCAAACCCCCACTTTTAAAAATCTCTTCTCAGTACAATTACACATACCTATGGACATAGGTAGGTTAGACATTTCCCAGTTTGGTCAACTTTTCCAAATGCTGCCAATAGAACATTTTTCTGAAATTTTATATATATTTTAACTCCATGCCAGGCGGCTGACATTATAGCATCGTTGACGCAAGAGGCAAACCCAGCCAGGGTCCAGGAAAGAAAAGTTTCAGAGGATTTGTTCCAAGCCCATGATTTTGAAATCAAAATTGATCTAGACGTTCCAGTTGTTGGTAAGTTCTGCTTTAGAATTAGTAGATTTGTTAATCACCGTCATCATCATCATTATCCCATTTTATCCTATCAATGGTATCAGCCTAATATATTGCTTGAAATTAAGTAGATCAGGGGTGGGCATAAAAATTTGTCGGAGGGTGAAAGTGAATTTTGGATTTAACACCAAGAGCCGCACCCAAACTTTGATGTTTCCAGTGTGCTTCCAAAAAACCTTCATGCACTGCTTTTATACCACTTTATTCTCAGATGATCGGTGTTGGGCCGTAAAAAACAACGTGTTTTATTTCAAAAGATGTTTGGGTTTTTTAATTTTTTTTTGTACGTTGCAAAAAAATCACTGTCAGGCCGTACTTTCCCACCTATGAAGTAGATGAGTAACTTAACTATGAAAAGGATGTTGGAAGTCAACTATCATTAACAATAATCAATGAAAAGTTATGAAATAAATCTATTTTTGTAGTTGCACTTTATAAAAAACTAAAAACTTGCCATTATTTCTCAACAGAAAGCAGGTCACAATTTGCCAAGCCGCAGAGTTCATCGGGAGAAGGAGCTCCTAGACGGTCGCTCAACCTAGCAGAATACAAGAAAAAACGAGGATTAATTTGAAAGGAAGTTAATAATGTTAAGTGAGAAGTACTTCTGAAAGTGCGATTATAAATACGTTGTAAATGTAGTTTGTTTTGCAATCCCTTAGACATATCATTAGCCTTGTTCTGTAAGTGGGCAGTGTTTGTGATTTTGTCATTTTAAAAAATTTTTCTATTGTCTGGTTACAATCAAACCATTTTGCAGAAATACCTTTTGAGGGCACTACATCATTCACTTTGAGGCATGACTGGATGTCTTAGTGTTACTGTAACTTCAGACCCCTCCCCCCACCCCACTCACCAGACACCTCAATGTATATGTATGCCACAGTGAACCAGATGCTTCAAACAGCTACCTAGATGAAGGAAAGTATACAGAAAATTTTCTATTTTTACACAGTTGTAGTACCGTTAAAGGTCACCTTCCCATCTCCCCCTGACTTCCCCCTCCCCTTTTTTTGAATGAATTGATTTTTATACTACTATGTCGAAACTAGAAGAAATCACATAGTAACGCCAGTCTATTCCTAAAACTTAAGTGGTTGACATATTTACCAAGTCTATGTCCACATCTATCAAATTTGATGTGACAAATTTGTGGTTCATATATGGGCATGATGGTGTCATATTACACCCACGCGCCTGGTGTCAGCGCCAATGTGTGCCCTTGTGCGGACAGGAGATATTGCCCCCCCCCCCCTCTGAAGCTGGAAACCTCATCAACCGATATAACCTTAAACATTCTTGGAATTGATATAACATTACTGATGTCGTACACACCCTTCAGTGTGAAATGTGGCAAGCACATTATTAGCCCCTCTCCCACTAGGGGTTTTTTCAGCATACGAGTTACAAGAGAATGCCGAGTTGCTAACTCGGCAAAAACTCGTAGGACGATTCGGAAAGCTCGGAGGGAATCTTACCTACTCGTAGCAGCTCTGAACTCGTAATACTAATTTTGAACATGTTCAAAATTATCGCCACGAGTAGATAACTCGTAGTAAACTCGAAGAACTCGTAGGTAGCTCGTAGAGTACTCGGGGTACTCCTACCTAGCTCGTACACTACTCTGGATACTCGTCAGCGATTTTGTCATCTACGAGATTGATGCGAGCACCCAAAAACGAGTACGAGTAAGTACGAGCGCACCGAGTTGGCTCGTACCTAACTCGTATCTAATTCGGTACAAACTTGTTACGCTCGTAATAATATCGTAGTTAACTCGGTGCTCTGCTCGGCATAATTCCTACATAACTCGTAACCAACTCCATAAAGTCGTACCTCACTCGTAGCTAACACGTAATAAGCTCGTATAGGTCCTTTAAAAAGATCACGAGTTTTAACTCGTAGAAATCGTACGATTCTTAGGTGAAATAAACCTAGGTGGGAGAGGGGCTGCATCTAAGGAAAGAAGAGCTTAGATTGGTACCAGATAAAATAATTTTGTTATCAACATTAATACATTATGCTAATTTTCATCTTTGTAAGCGCATAAGACAGTGCAAATTATTTCTGTTACAGTCTTTTGAAGTGCGTAAAGCTCCATTTTATCCCATACATAGTCAAAATATTGGGGGGATGATTCAATTGACCATCCCCCCTTGTCAAATATCGGGGGGATATATCCCCTCCATCCCCCCCGGGATCTACGCCTATGTTATCAACATGACCGTCAGGCAATAAACAGTTTGTTTTGAAAAATCGGAATGCGAGGGTAGCCCAACATTACAGACATTACTGGCAACTCCGGACAATTCGTAAGCAACTTACGTCATTAATTATTATGAGTTTATTGACTTCAATACAATGATAAACAGCACACAGATTGATATATGGGTACTCCAGTGGTCGAAATTTCATGCAGGTGGATTTTTCGAATTATACGAAAGAGTACCAGCATGTCTATCAGATATTGCAAACCTATTATAGTTATTTTGAAGACATACTTTTGCTAGCTCCTTTTGCTGTACGTTTGCAAAGTCTATATTATCAGCGCTTCCCAAAGTGATGCAGGGCCGATCACCAAATTGGGTCTCCGGGGAAAAAAGGTTTAGGAAGCGCTGTATTAGATATTGGAAACCTAGGCCTATAGCTCTTTTTGCTGGGTTTGCAGTTTCTAATGGCAAAAGCATGTCGTCAGAATAACGGAGGTTAAAATGTTATTCAATTCACATTTCATTTCCAAAAGTAAACATTTTCTACCTTCTGGTACTAATTAGATTCAATTTCAATTTAATTTGAGTACTAGTTTCACTAAGGAAAACGACAACACATAACTAAACAGTAGCCTCAAACACATCGGGAAGATGAAGATTCGATTACAATTTGATTTAAAAACTCCGAGTTCTCAGGAGGAATAATGTAAGGCCTAATGAGAAAGGTAACATTGGCCTCAGGGGCGGATCCAGTTTTTGAAAGATGGGGGTTCAAAATTTTTCCCAGAAACCCGAAAATTAAAGGGGGTTGGGGGTCCTCCCCCGGGAAAATTTTGATTCCTAGATGGCAAGGTTTTCCCCTCTTAAAAAAAAAAGTCAGGTGATTTTTATCTCATTCTTAGGCCTACCATAGAAGAAAATCAAACGTATAGTCAATACATTATTAGGCCTATATTCCAACAATATTGAGTAGTTGGATACGTAATCTTTCTTATAGATTGATGAATCGATAGGCCTGAAGAACACACTTTCGTGCATGACATCGAGCCGAAAACAGTGTTTTTAATTGTATCTAATTGAATGCTTGGGCTAAGCCTAGTTTGTCCGATCTGCCAACCTATGCCAGGTACTGTAGGTGAGCATGCCTTTTGTAAGCCGGGACCCAGTAGTATTTTGTTACGTTTCTTTACAGAGTGGGGTTCGTCCGAACCCCTTGAACCAACCTGGATCCGCCACTGGGTTTAGTTTTTTGCTCCTGTGTGTCAATATCGGTACTACTGCAATAAATGCAAAAGTTGACAATATCCAACGGCATTATGCAAAATGCAAAGAATTTAATTATGGAAAATTCATTGTCTTTTGATCTGAAATATGGAAGACTTTAAGAACACAATGAATTTTACATTCATTTGTAATAATGTAATGTATATAAATTTGCTATAGCGCATAAACAATGTCTCAATGCGCTGTGAGTAAAACAGAATTAAAAAGTTTAAAAAAAGTGTGTTTTAAGTACACAGTTATTATTTCTGTTATGGGCCTACAATGTAGGCCTACATCTAAAACAATAAGCAACCGGTTATCCAAGGAAAACATAGTGGCGGCGCTAGCGGAAGGTCCATGTTGGGGGTACAGAGACCCCGTTGGAGAAGAAGTTATCAATCATTTCATTGGGAAACATTGTCTGTTTAGGAAGCATATTTAAAGACTAATAAAAGACACTACCATTGTAAAAAATTATACTACTAAATTTTATAATGTTTTGTTTATATTCTCGGAATAAAAATATCACCGATGAATTAATTGCTGGTCAGACACAACAGCGACGATAAAAATTGCAACAAGCTAGCCAATCGCAGCAAAGTATGGTACATGATTGGTCCATGGCAATAAAGCAAGTATTATTTATTACTCTACTACCATGTAAATTTACGATACACACTGCAACCGTTCGATTTCTCCAACTGGTTTCAATCGTCCAAATTTGTCGAGGGACCACTAATTCAACACTGCCAGGAACATTTTTTGGAGATGAAGCTTACTCGGGTGACAAAGCTCATACTCGTCCGCGGTATTTACGCAGCCCATGCGCTCGCAGCTATAATATACACAAGCCGGGAATTGGACACCGTAGATTTGATAATCGTGTCTGCCTGTATGTTTGCTCTTACGGCTGAAACCCTCTTCACTATAAGAAAAAGCTCGGGCGAATGGAAATGGTAAGGCCGTTTTGTTTCTTTCACAGCTCCAAAACAGAATATACTATTACTATTTGGATCATTATTTTTTAGATTATTCCAATGTTTACAGTTTACCTTTAAAAATTCCATTCATCGAATTGGATACAGGACTGTGTTGGTCGTTCCTATTATTTTACAACACTATGCTGTTCATGGGAGACGTTGTTAATTAGTTACATTTATGGGAGTATACACTTAGGCCTAAAACTATTATTATTATTATTACTACTACTACTACTATCATTATTGTTATTTTGTCTAATAAGCATACAATATATTAATATATATATACGTTATCGTTTAATCGCTGTCTAAATGGAATACTGCTTTGCGTCTCCAACAATATTTGTAGGTGTATTATATGGAATTAACTACCAGACATTTCCTTATATGTCAATATGGATATATTTATTAGAAGTACCGTACCGTATAATATTGAAAGACTACTTCAGATATTTTAGGACATACAAGTATACAATAACAGTGGCGGATTTAGGATTTAGCAATGGGGGTGGATAATGCGAATTGCGAAGCACCAATCTGGGGGCGGGGTGGTGGTTTTGGCAAGGGCGCAGATCTGTTTCTAAAGGTGAAGGGGATATTTTGTGAGTCCACACCCACCTCAGGCCGAAAATTTCAGGTAATAGTTAGCGCTAGATGACCTGAAATGACACTTTTATATAGTAAAATTTATCGTCATCACATCACCATTATACAGTATATTCAAAATGACGTTTTACCAGCGATTATCGGCAACCATAAATATCTAATTAATATATGTGATGTACTTTAGAATATAAAACTAAAAAAAGAAACCATTGTCATTGATGTAATTACTTTTGGCCTTCCTACTTTAAGGCCAAGTTTACATTTCCACATAGAACATTTGGGGAAATAGTACCTCTAGATTGCCGGAAATGACACTGAAAGATTATAACAGTAAAATTCACCATCATCTAATTAATCGCTGTGATGTTCCATTGAAAATAAAACTTTATTGTTCTGATGTATTTTTTATTTACTTTACCTACTTCATGTGCCGAAAAATAATCTTATTAATATTATTATTATCATTATTATTATTATTATTATTATCATTATTATTATTATTATTATTATTATTATTATTATTATTATTATTATTATTACACGCTTTGTCTCATACTTCTAAAATTATAATAAAGACGCGCACTCGAGTCGTGTAGGCCTATTATAAGTAATTCAGATGTTTGTGGGCTAAGATAGAGTACCGGCTGTACAGCACCATTTCGTTAAAACCTGGGTCATTTATGAAGCTCATTTTAACAATTTTCAGGTATCTTCTGGACTTATGAAATTATTACATTGCGGACGAAAATTGAAAGGACCAACCCCCAATCCCCTTAAACATATTTGGGGACGTTTCTGAGATTTTTTGAAAAGAAGTTAAGCTTAAAATAGAAAGTAGGCCTATATGTTTTACGAGAGTATACATGTATACATGAGAAACATACACACAAGACGAGTGACCATTTTTTTTTCAAAGTCACCAAAGTTGGGTGGCTAGCCACCCTATACACCTCCTGTAGATCCACTGAGAAATGCATGTTTTTATTAGTTATTACGTAATATATTTTATGTTCTGTATATTTTAGTGCTACCGTTCTCTATGCGATAGTGGGTATACGGCACGTTCTACTACATGACACATCATAATAGAGATACGGGTATTATCTGTTTTCCAAAATTAAATAAATAAAAAATTAAATAACTTCCACGAATTCTATCCAATTCTGTGTCCAATGAAATCGATATATGTTATCGTTTATTCACTGTCTAAATGAAATGCTGCTTTGCGTCTCCAACAATAATTGTAGGTTTATTATATGGAATTCACTACCAGAAATATTACATTTCCTTATAGACCTATGTCAATATGGATATATTTATTAGAAGTATATTAAAAGACTACTTCAGACATTTTAGGACTTACAGGTATACAATAATGCATGCTTTTATTAGTTATTTCGTAATATATTTTATGTTCTGCATATTTTAGTGCTACAGTTCTCCATGAGATAGTGGGTATATTTCACGTTCTACTTCATGACGCACCATAAATTATGTCTGTTTTCCAAAATAAAATAAATAAATAATGAAATAACTTCCACGAATTCAGTTCAATTCTGTGTCCAATGAATCAGAACAAACACGTTACATCTCTAAACAATGGTGATAATCATGTTTTTATAGCGGTTCATTAGATTTGCTGGTACTATTGTATTGCGTGTAGCGATTGTATGGAAACCTAGCAAAATCGTCTCTAAGCGCTTGAAGAATATGAATAATTATGATTATATGTTGCCTGTCTTAATGATTATGTATATGTAATAATAATAATAATAATAATGATAATAATATTAACAATAATAATAATAATAATAATAATAATAATAATAATAATAATAATAATAATAATAATAATAATAATAAATATACATTATGTTTATATACTCTATATATAAAATTGATCAAATAACGGTAGGAACAATACTCTAAAGATCATATCGGGCATTGCATATCAACTGTATGAACAGGTGCCCATGGCCGGAATTGAACCCTCGATCTCTCGCATTGCAAGTGTCATAACACTAGACCTCTGATAGACATTATAATTATAATCCATATACCTGTACTGAAAATTCATTTTAAACCCAGTGAAATCCCTCATACCTTTAACCTAATAATTCAGAATATAAAATACAAAGACAGTTTGGCTTTTTTTTTTTGATGGCCTATTATGAACTTTGACGAACTTAATACTTTAATTAGCGTCGTATTATGTCCCTCGATACAACACTAACCTTGTGATATGACGTTTTAGATCACATGACTTATTATGATATCGTCTCAGTTTATAAGAGTTAGTCTATAATACCATAATAATAATACCAATAATATAATACCAATAATATAATAGTCTATAATTATGCTCAGTGAACTGAGTCAACCTTGATTGAGTTGTAACTGTTTGATTGGTGTAATTAATTTCAACGTTAGCATAAACTTATAATATTTGGAGCTGCTGAGGTCACTCAGCTAAACTGGTGGTGGCCAGTGTGCACTGCTCTGAACCCTGGGGATTTCGTGGTCCCCGGTTCAAGTCCCATCCTATTCTCCAGCTAAAGGGCTGAAATGCAATTTCAATAAATAGTGCACCGTCTTTCGGATGTGACGTTTAAGCCGTTGGTGTTAAAAAAAAAAACGCAGCATACGCTGGTGTACTACCCAATCACTACCAGAAGGACCCCAATGGAAATAAGTCTTCTTAGGATTTTCGTGAATTATCCTTGGTCTTTGAACTAATCCAATTTAACTTTCTTAAGTTGCCCTCCGGGCTGGTCATGTGTACTGTACTGTACTGTACATTCAATGTTTGGTGAGCGTGTAAATGTTGATTGCATGTTGTCGACACCCCTAATTTTTATAATCCAGTGATTTTTGACGATTTATCGTAAATTAGAATGTTTGCAAAGTATATACGAACTTTTAAACATATTACTGCATAGTTTCGATATTGTTTTAACTACTACTTTATTGTAATAAGGTTTACATGTACATTTTTTTAATTTGTTTGAAATTACTGTGAATATATTATATATTCGATTGATTTTGATCAAATCATTAAACGAATGAAAGAGGGAATAAACGAATGAATGAAGAGTCTGTAAAACTATACATTATTAAATATATATACCAGTAATTATGGAATACGAATTTGAGTATAGACCAGGTATGGTTGTCGTTGATGATATAATCATTAACGAAAAAAATGTTACATTTTTTTTTCTTGTAGGTTTCTTCCCAGTGTACCGATCTATCTGACTGTTATTCTGTGGTGTGTGTGGAAATTGGAAATAACTCTACTGGAAAACAGAACATACGTCATGAACACAACACACGACTGCGTTACTAGTTGCGAGGGGTTTAACGCATGTCCTCCGGATCTAGATGATTGTCCCACGATGGTAACACATTAATATTTTGTTGCCTCAAAATCATATGATTTTTTTAAAATAAAATATTTCTTTAATTAGTCAATGGTGGCACAACGACGTCTTTGGTCGTAGATTGTAAACTCAAACTTAAAATACTATTTTTTAAAATATGAGATAATTGTGTGTCTTTGTTTTGTCCTCATTTAATAACATTAATAATAATAATAAATTAGGGCCTATGGTAATAAACGTAAATGCCTATTAATAATTATATACATCGGCAACAAGTTGCTGGTAAGAAGAATAAAAAATATAGGTATGTTATTGTGGATACATACATTACATATATAAATAGTTTGGCGTAGGCGTACCTCTAAAGTTTAGTTTTTGGCCTTCTTGTTCACTCTTTGTTCACGCTATTTATTCACTTCTCACCTTTTTGTACCCTCACTTATAGTGACTTATATGATAGGCCTTATATACTGTATGCCTATCTATATAATCAATTTATTATTAATAAAGTGATTATATAGATAGGCCTATATACAGTATATAAGGCCTATACAGTATATAGATAGGCCTAGGCCTATATATAGTATATAAGCCCTATAC